CGGTCGCTTATTCCCTCCGGCGAGAGCGCGCGAGGGGTCGGCAGGGTTGGTTTCCCTCTTTTGTGCGTCTCGCACAATTCTATCGCGGTTGCGCTGTCGGCGACGTGTCACTGACGATGGGAGCTGCGCACTCGCTCACTCGCTCTCTCGCTCGCTCTCTCTGGGGCTCGCTGCACAGAGGTGGTGCCGCATCACACTCGGTCCTCCCCCCACGAACCTGCGACCACAACGGCCACGGCCACCGCTACCGCCATCATCAAAGACGAAGATGCCCCGTACAGCGAGCACCTATGCAGGCCGGCACGGCACGCGAGGAGGTGGTGGGTGGCCAGTACCACGCATGGCCGCCTTTGTCTCCCCAGCGGTGATGTTTACACACCAGGTTAGGTATTTGAGGCTGAGTCGACCTAGGGGAGGAGGGCCCGGACCGGTTCGGATAATCGTCACTGGCGTTGGCCGTGAGCGGCTACACTACCGCTACAACCAACGTCAACTCCACTTGTTACCACCACTGTCACCACCACTCACCACCACTGTCACCACCACTGTTACCACCACTCACCACCACTCACCACCACTGTCACCACCACTCACCACCACTGTCACCACCACTGTCACCACCACTCACCACCACTCACCACTACTGTCACCACCACTATCACCACCACTCACCACGACTGTCACCACCACTCACCACCACTGTCACCACCACTGTCACCACCACTGTCACCACCACTGTCACCACAACTCTTACCACCACTGTCACCACCATTGTCACCACCACTGTCACCACGACTGTCACCACCACTGTCACCACCACTGTTATCACCACTGTCACCACCACTGTCACCATCACTCACCACCACTGTCACCACCACTGTTACCACCACTGTTATCACCATGTGGCAGCGTGGCGCAGTGATGGTAACACTTTTGCCTCACCATCAAGACGGGCCCTGGATTCGATTCCCGACTGGGGCACCTTGCTGCGTGCAGTTTGTATGTTCTCCAACTATTCATCATTGGAGTTTCTCAGCGTTCTCCGGTGTATATAAATATATTGTATATGTAAAACACGCAATGAAACTGGGATTGGTCAAACATCGCAATAATGAAAACATATTCTACAAATTACGCAACTAGGATTGAGAAAGTGTCGCAAGACTCAGTGGGGCTTTCCTGAATAACGAGCATGAAACACAATAATACTATGTTGTGTCTCTCTCTGCGTGTTGCTGTGTTGTCTCTCTCTTCTTGTGTGTCTGTCTGTGTGTCTCCGTGTCTGTGTTTCGTTTCTCTCTCAAATGTAGTTCTACCTGATAATGACTGCTTGTGTTGCAATCGAAACGTCGTATTCTATTATTTAATGTATTTCTTTCTACATGACTTTACCGAAAGAACCAAAAATAACAATAATACTACTACGGCTTTCTGCGTCTATCAATTTACTCCCTTTTCAAATAGCTATTCAGTTGTTCCACGCTGCACACGCCTGATGATGGTTAAACACATCCCACGTGACGCGCTCAGCAGTTAATTGTAATAATTTGCACTAATTAGGCGCCGTTCACGCTGTGTCTCACGTGACGTTGGACCGGAGTTTGGGTTGCTCTGCTGTCAGAGAACGGCCTGCGGAAGTAGATACCAAGGAACTATTCCTGAAAATGTATCGACGTTTCTGTTTTTCCTTCCAAACAACACTAGGGAGCGCACTTTCCCACACTCTGTGCTACAGAAGAAAAAAAATCGTTCGTGTCAGCGACAGTGATTCTCTGTAACTCTCGCCGCTGGAATGATGCGTTACAAAAATTAAATTAGTGGAACCAATTGAGCAACGATAACAACACACTCGATTCGCGTCACCTTTATTGCTGTTGCGCGGTAATCAGTGACCGGATTGAGGCCACAACTCGCTCCACTCGAGTTCCCGGATTCAATACGAATGCCTTGAAACTCGGGTTCGAATCCAGGTTCTCAGCGGCGTGGGTTCAGCGCCCCGACCTGTTCGACCACCCGGCCACCTCCTTTGCAGCTAAAGCCTTCGCGGACTTCAGAAGCTCGCCTGTGGACTTATTGACTGAGCAGTGTGTCGCGTTCACCAAGGTGCGCGCCGAGAAAAACAAACGACAAGCCTGAACTCATATTCTTTTGTTCTTTCGGTAAAGTCACGTAGATAGAAAATAAAATTTGAAAAAATAATTTTAGTTTTTTTGTTTTACATTTTTTTATTTGTATAAAAAAATGCAATTTTTTATTTTACATTTTTCTTTTATGTTCTATCTACGCGACTTTACCGAAATAACCAAAGAATATGAATTCCTGCAGTCACGAAAGTTTTAAGTAAAAATTTAAGCCTGAACTCTTTGTCTTTTTTCTTCCCCCACCAACCAACCCCCTCCAATGATATTCCAATAAATTCCAAATTGTCCTTGTCAGCCAAATCGTCACATTCTCTCTCTTTCTCACACACACACATGAACTCTCTCCCCTTTCAAACACGTTCTTCTCCACGGCAGTCAAACGGACCTGGCCATTGTGGTCAGATTGAAGTGAACACCAAAATGTCACGTGATGTTTTTGTGCAGTCATCGGTGACAGGAGCTGTGACCGTCAACCCCTCCAGCCATGGTTCAGTCTGGAAATACGTACATTCGTCAACGTCACATTGAATTTCCAGTGCGCGGTGTGACTCCAAATCAGAACAACCCCCCGACACTTATTCTCTCCATCTCGCCTACACAATTGCAGCACGTGCAGACTGCGCAGTTAATTTAAGCTTCCGATTAAATGAATTGCCACGCATGGCATGGCCACAGCGCATGCGATCATGCACGGTGGCCATGCCAAGAGGGGTGAGTGGATCACAGACATTTGTGAAACTCTCGTGTTGATGAGACCAAGTTGTGCATTTCTCTCGCAGAGCAGTGCACAGAATGGTCCGCGGAAGACGGTGTCACAGAATTACTTCTGAGAGCTCTTGAAATGACCGCGAGGTGGCCAGGAGATGGCAGTACAGCGAGTCGATTGAAGCAAGTGGGTTTCATCGCAGTGTCATGCCCTCGTGTGAGCTGGTGGAGGTTTTTTCCTCTCCCGGAATTCCCATTTCCTCCCATTTTCAGCCAAACATTCATCAACGGTATTTGGCCAAACATCCCGACGTAGCAGCATCCTCGTGCGAAGGAGTTTTGAGATTCTGCGAGACTTTCCTGGGGAAAAATAAATACATATCCAACAAAGGGAATGGTTGTCGTAATTACGCGCGCGCACACTGATGGGGTCCATGGAAATGAACAGATCCGTCTGCGAAACTCAGATAGGTGTAATGTAGAAGCAACTCTTATTTTTTGTGGGATGGGTGAAGTGTCTCCGTCTACAACCCCTTTGTCGATCCACTGCTGGATGAAGGCCCTCACCTCTCGCCCGTGTTTTAAAATGCGCTGTACGCAGTGTTTACATTGCGGATCGAGATAAACTGCGGTCGTTTTTCACGTGAGCAGGATTTACGTCGACTTAAGCGAATCGGCTCAAGTTGCGTCGACTCAACTGAGCCGTGTGAGCACAGACAGCTTGGTGCAGTGGGGGGGAAGCCCCACGGCGCATTGGGTTATCAGTTCCCACTGGGTGTTAACCGTGACCGGGACTCTAACTCAGGTGGCCGGGTTATCATTGCATAGCGAGCTTAACCATCGCATCACAATCTCGCCATGACGACGGTCCATTGCCCCAAACGTCGTTCTATCATATTTGTGTCCGTTTTCTTTTTGTTTCAAGGCGGTCTTGTTGACGAGGTGTGTTGAGTCTCGTGCGTGTGCGCCATCTGCCAACGCAGCAGCCGCAGCAGCATCGCCAACTTATAATTCGAGACAACTGTGGCCATGAGGCTTAGGCGGGTGTCATTAGAGACACACTAATTTGCGGTGAGATATCGACGTTATTAGATAAATAGCTGCTTTGGGCCGTAATTACGCATTTGGCCATTAAAATAATTGCATAGCATTCAATCGCACGCGTGTCATGATTAGCCACGAAGCTCCAGTGGATATATGCATACTGCATGCGCACGTACACAATGATTATTTATGTTCGTGTGATAATAGTTTGAATGGTACAGTCCTTTGTCACTCAACTGCTGGATGAAGGCCTCCGCACGCTGGGTCAAAGAGGGGTGTTGTTCGACCATACTTCACCGCTCTGGTCACTGCGAGTTGATGAACGCGGAGACTTCGGACCAGTTCAGATATCGCTCGCCACCGATGCTAAAGCCGTGGTCTAGGAATCGAACTCGGGTAGGGTCTGGGCTCATAGCACATCGCACGAAGCACTGGGCCCTACTGCCTCCCCCACACAATGTACAACATGCGAATAAGCATCCGAGGTGAGCAAAGCGAGCGTATACGAAGAGCGCATTCGGACAAAGCGAAGAACAAAACAAAATCAAAACAAAATCACGGATCGGCAGATTGTTCCGCGGTGGTGAGCACTGAGCAGCAGGCTGTGCTCGATCACTGCGAGCCAGAACACAGACCGCGCCGAGTCTCAAGACCGGTTTTCAGGAGGGGTTCCGCAATTAGCGTGTTTGTATAATTCACGATGCGTTTATATTTTTTATTTTTTGGCGATTCGAAAAGGAACCTCGGAGAAGCCTCATGCTTACAAGCAAAGAGAACGTGCACGACTCCGTACAGAGGGCGGCCGTGCGCTTCTCTCCCGGACCATTCGGTCGAGGCTTAGTCGACCACGAGAGACGCGAACGTTTCATCCTCCTCGGCGAAGGAGCACGAGTAGTACACGGGACGGCTCGTGAGACGCGTGCCGTACTGTGGTCAGCGCTTCTGCGCTGATACTGAATTACCCCACCCTTTCGCTCGATCGCTCGCTCACTCACCCACCCACCCCTCCACTCTCGACTCTGACAGGTGGTTTGGCTGCGGTGGGGAGAGGGAAGGTAGGGGAAGAGGAGAGAGAGAGAGCGAGGGAGGGAGTTGACGGGAGCAACTGTCGAGGTGCACGCCCAGACACACCGCGCGCACACAGCCAGCGATGATGATGATGATATAGTCGCTCTCGCTCACTCGCTCGCTCTCCTGCGCGCCCCCCAACACGCGGACACGCGCGCATTAACCTGGCCACGTGCGCGCGCACGGACACACACACATAGACACACACACGGACAGACACACACGGACACACACACACTCACCTACACACTCGCTCACTTACACAATTACTCCACTCAGAACAAATGTCAATCGCGGCTTTGCGGTTTTTTGCGCGCGCCACGGTTTAGCTATTAGACACCGGGCCGAGAGACGGAGAGTACGAATAATAAGTAGGAAAAAAATAAGAAAAAGCAAGACGTAGAAGAAAGAAGGTGGGGGGGGGGGGTGGCGGGGGTGCGGTGGGTGGTGATGGTGGGTGGTGGTAGTAGTGGTGGTGGTGGTAGTGGTGGCATTACAAAACGAGCAACATAAAACTATTAACAAAGTTACATCAGCGCTTTTGCGCGCGCGCGCACGCTTGTCTGTCTCTATATATACGAGGCCGCGGCTTCTGCTGTGGCATCTGCAGCCCGAATGCGGATCACGTCGGACGAAAGATCCGGGGCGACAATCAGCGAGTCATGCGGAGACCGCGCGTGGAGGAGACGACAGAAGAACGATCTCTCTCTCTCTCTCCACCGAGGGACGAAAACTGTTTGAGCAGCGCCGAGCTGCGTGACTGAACCGGGACACAGTCGCGCCTCAGCAGCACAACGAGAGACAATCCATCCCGGCTGCATCATTATCAGCAGCAAGCAGCAAGCAAGCAAGCATCAAGACACCTCGGACGCTCAACTCGTATCAGCAGTCGACCCGTTGCGCGCGCACACACCGCGAACTGCCAAGCGCGAGGCGAGTCGGCGACACGGACAGCATCATGTATGCGCGCATCAGCCGCTGGATACTGCATTGCCTCCTGACTGTTGCGGTCTTCTACTTTCGTATCGGGTAAGAGCTCGATTTTCGTTTAAAACGCGGACTCGTTGCGCGGTGTTGTGACGCGGAGCCTGCGATGACGCGGCGTCTGCGGGCACGCGCGACCGCGCTCATTAACGCGACGTCTGCGCCACTGCGGCGATGATGACGATGATGTCTAATAAATGAATCGGAACGCGTCGGTGTGAGGATCGTAAAGGGAGACTTGGAAGCGGAAAAGTCTGCAGGCTGCTGTGTTTACTCGTCTTGGTCACGGCACCGCTTAGTGGCTGGTGGTCTGTGCTGCCTTCCTGCTCTGCTGTCTCCAACTCATTCCTGATCGTGGGCCATCAACCTCTGCGTCCACTCCACGATCCTTCAAATCCTCGTTCAGCCACTGTGGACCCTGCGTCTCTGTCTCGGTCCCGGTGCTTACCTTGTTCATCATCAACCTGTCACCTTTCATCCGATGTTCTTTTCCTCCCTTCTCGACTTTCTTTCAGCTCGTTCGCGATGGGTAGGGACCCCCCTCCTCCCTTCACTCTCGCCCATGTTCTATTTCGCTGTACGCTGTGGTTTTGGCCATGCAGTCCAGACACTCTCAACACACGGTTGAGTTATTTCACATGCGCACGATTCACGTCGACTCTAGCGAGTTCGGCGCGAGTAATGTCGCCTGAGCCATTGTGAAAAGGTGATATTGGCATGTGTCGATTGAAGGTTTCCTCCTGCGAAAAGTGAGCATTGTTTGTGTGCGTGTCTCGACGTACCTATACCGACATCAGTGAGGTCGCTAGAACGCGGCGCATGCTAACAGACCCAATCGCTAACTCTGTACCACAGTGTATCATTTTTCGTCAATTACTTTGAGCGAAATCGAGATGCCAACCAATGCCCCATATCGCTAACAACGTCGTGAATAGCCGTGCCTGTGTGTCCTCCGTGTGCAATACATCGTCAAACCACGCATTTGAAGTCAATAAAAAAAGTCTCAAATTGTAACAGTCAAAAAGAATGTCATTCAGGAGGTCGGAACTTTTCTTTGCCACCAGTCCTCACAAATGTGGACATCGCCCGGGTAGTTAACAGCAATTAAAGCGATTAGCACCGCGCGCTAATGAGCCTAATGCACGTGCGCGTGCACGCGGGCCCCGCCGACTTTCACCTGCACGCCCGAAACCTGCCCTCGGAGATCAACACCCGAGTGCCTGTTGCCATCATGCCACCCAACTCCACGCCCCACACCACCCTCCCGTGTCTCTCTCTCTCCCTCTCGCCCCACCACCCACCCACCTTTTTTTTGCAACCACCCTCCTTATCCCAACTCGTTGAGATAACGTCAACATTCACTGACCACATCACTGAGCGGCCTCGCGCGCCCGCGCGGTCTCGTTAACTTCTATGGCCCTGCAGGAAACGCCTGCGATTTGCCCATAAAGAAGCTCCTTCCAAGGGCTGATGATACCTGATATGAATGACAGTAGAATGTACACCTCTGTCGGTCGTGGCGGGAGCGGGGGAGGGGTGTTTGACTATACTTCGCCGGGCTGGTCAGCGCGTGTTAAAGGGAGAGGGGTTTAAAAGGGGACAGGAGAGCGCTTCCGTTATTAATCGAGTCCAAGAATCCAGGTAGCTGGTCCATCACGCCACGCGCTGACCAGTGCACAGGTTGACTGTCCAGAAAGTATCCAAACGAATACCTCGCCGAGTCTCAGGACTCTTGTTTTTGGAAGGTGCCGCCAAGATTTGGATGTTTGGATGTCTCGTTAATGAGCGTTTGGGCTTACGTGAGAAGAAATGGGAGTGCCCGTATAAATACTCTTAGGTTTTGTCGGTCACGAAAGCTTCAAATCTAGAATTAATGCCCATAGGAACCCTACGACTGTCAAGTTGATTATACATATATACGTATGGATACATCGTGTGCTATGAAGGAGGTCCATGACCCAAAACGTCGCCTGTTAGAGATATTTTAGCTTTTAAGAAAGCGTTGTTAACGAATGTGTGTATATATAACTGTGCAACTGCTGCACGCATTGTTACGCAAGAGTGCGACGCTCAAAACTCCGCACAAATAGCTTCAAGAATTCACTGCTGTCCCACATCCGGCGACCTCGCATCGCGAGTGGACGACGTGAGGCTCTTCTCCGGCGGTCTCGCAGTGCTCGTGGTAGAAAGCAACCGAGCTCGCAGCTTGTCGGAGTCAGCGTGCTTCAGAGATCCGACGGGATTCGGAGCGCGTTCGGAGTAATTCTGTTGAGGTCACAGCGAAGTCGCGCAGCGAGTAGCTTGAGAAGTGAACGGAAAGTGGCCACCAATTGGCCGTCGAATGCTTTCAGTAAACAAGAAAAGTCGTGCGTACGCATGGATTTTATATAGTTTTCAAAAAAATTGCGCTTTAACCCCGGATGATAATAATTTATTATTGTCTTGATTAATGATATTTTCAAATAAACGACGCACAATATCGCTGGGTTCGATCGTCCGTGAAGCTCACGGGGCCAGGAACCCCAGAAACCGCTTTGTCCGCACATTGCATCATCATCAGCAGCATCATCATCAGCAGCAGCAGCAGCTGTGGTTACCTGAAGATGATGATGATGCACACGTGAACAATTACAATCTCTGCTGGAGTGCGTGGAGACTGTAGTCACAGCCCGGAACAGAACCGTGGGACATGTAGACACAGACTCAACCGGCTCGTTCGCACATCAGAATGAGAAGTTTATTTCCAGAGTAAAGCCGGTTGAGCTAAGAATCTCTCTCTCTTTTTGTTTTAATGGGGAACTCGGTCGGCAGACGAAATCGAATTATTTCACAATCAACAGAATAAAAAAAAAACGTAATAATAACGACATCAAGGATGTTGTCAAATGACATTGGCGCCCAAGCGTGAGTGATTTTAATCGAGTCCGTTTAAACGAGGATAGAAATACTCTTGAGGGAGGCATCATCACAGTCATCACAATCATCATCGTCATCACATTCATCACAACCATCACAATCATCACAATCATCACGGCGACGAGTCGCCATACCGCTACTTCTCCTGGAGCAGACATCATCTGGCCCATCAGGGCACCTCGATGTAACATTTCGGCTCTTGCTCTCCGCAAACGCGAGCCGCACGAAGATGGGGAACGCGGCTCGCGTTCTCGTCGCGCTAAAATCACGGCTAGGCGGATGGAGCAATGCCCCGCGCGTGAACGTTTGCGACTTAAGTTGGAGAGACGAAAAAAGCATTCGAGAAAAAGAGAAAAAGCAAAAGCGTGTTTGTCAATTCTAAGAATCGGTCCCAGAGGCTGCGTTGCGCAATGAAAGCGGAGACACGGAGACACGCAACGCGCCCTAAAGCCGTCGGCTACAGGTGACCGCTTTGGTATTCGAACGCCTCGACTCGACTCACGTACAGTGGCGAGGTGGTTGAGAGAGCAGAGGGGGGGGTGGTGGAGGTAAGGGGGGGGGGGTGGTATGATTTTCAAGAGGGCGATTCAGTTTAATTTATTGCAACCAGGATGCATGTCGGATTGAACTGCGATATACACATCATCATCATCATCGCCGCCGCCGTTGTAGTCGTGGTGGTGGTGGTTGGTCGCATTCTTTAGATCTTTTCGCAATGGAAGTTGGCTCATGCCTTGGCGCGCGCGCACGCATGCAGGTAGCCGCATATCCAGTTGCATCTCGAGATAACGGGGAGGAATGCGAATTTGGGTCCGCGCCAAGGAGGGACATTTACATAATTGGCCGTCGGAAAGAAACGAAGGTTGAATTGAATGACTGGAGCAGCAGCAGCAGCGGCGGCAGTTTAAGCAAGCGTCGTTCCCTCCGCACATCGATACGGCAAAGGGATCAAACTTGGTGCTGTCTCGCGACACGAACGCCCAGTAGCCAGGTTCACGTGAACTCTCTCTCCTTTCATTCTCTCTCTCGCAAGGCGTTCACGTGGCTTTAATCGAAACACGGATATCGGCCGTGGTTGTTGAGCAGATTAGCTCGCGTGCCATGTGTAACCACGCAATCGCGCTCAATAGATCATCAATTCATTACAGCTGCAGGCACGGCGGAGTGAGCGTGATGCAATGACGCTGAGGTTATTTAAGAAGGAGGAAGTGTCTATGAAGTGTACGAAGCGACGCGCTGCCCGGTGTGTGAATGGAAACATTATATAGGTCACGTGGGAGGCATCTCACAAGAAGTTCTGTGATATCCGCTTCCGTGGCGCCGTTCTCCACAGCACGCCGCCGAGAGGTTGTGCTGCTACTGCCTACGGCCCCAACTAGATTCTTGGTCTCGGGACGACGCAGCGAAATTTGGGAGAGAATGAACGTAAAAATTATTGAGCTCGCAAGGAGAAGACGTGCGTGCAAAAACACGCTCACTTTGGAAAGGGATCTCCCTCTGTGTTGTCTATGTTGTGTGTCTCTTTCAGTGTGTCTCTGTGCTGTCTCTCTCTACTTGTGTGTCTGTCTGTGTGTCTCCGTGTCTGTGTTTTGTCTCTCTCTTTCTCAAATTTAGTTCTACTTGATGACGACTGCTTGTGTTGCAATGGAAACGTCGTATTCTATTATTTAATTTATTTTCTTTCTACGTGACTTTACCGAAAAAACCAAAAAGGAATTTCTGCAGTGACGAAAGTTTCGAATCAAGTTTTATCTCCAAAATAACTTCTGTGAATCCTGCTTCCGCGAGCCGTTCTGGAACACGCCGCTCTTGGCACCGTGACCGACGCCACGTGGGTAGAGCCACTCGGAGGAACAGAGAGTGACACAACCGAAAGGTGCTGGGATCGTTACTTGAAAACTCCCTCCTCGGAGTGTCCCTTAATGAGAGGGCGGCACGGAGAGCTCCGTCGTCTCGTAAGGCATCTTCTTCTGCCCCCCCCTCTCTCTCTTCCTCTCTCTCTCAAACAAAAAAACAAACGCCACTCAAGTCGCGGTGATTAAAACGCCCCGATTCACCTGCGCGGAATGCGTCTCCGCCGCACGGAACACGGGGAGCCGGCACGCTGACTCGGTGTGTGCACGTGTGTG